TTTTTTTCTTTTTTTGAGTCAGAATTGTGTATATAGCCTGTGACAGAAAACATAAATAAAAACAAAAAACAAACAAACAAAAAAAAAAAAACAGAAGAAATGGGAATTTGAACTTTTTATCTTTGCTGGAGTTAGGGTATTCTTGCTTGTCTTTGAACATCAGAACTTCAAGCTTTTTGTCCTTTGCACTCTAAAACTTGTGCCTGTGGCTTTCTGAGAGTAGTTATCTATTGTAAAGTGATGGAGCAATCATTTATATCATTGGAGAGGAAAGTGGGTGTCTCGATTTTTTTTCAGAGTCCCACATATTATTCTACGAAGAGCATATCAGAATGGAAAACTTCTCATATACATGGACCATACCAAGCTAGAAGATAAGAGAAAGGTCCTGATTGTGTAAAAAACATTGTATGCTATTGATGAAGGTTCAACATTGGCAATGGAAAGGTATGTAATGGAGCTATGCCTCTCATTTCTATAATGAGAGAAGTTCCTACTGGGTCTTAGTTGCATGTTTGTCCCAATGGCATCTGTTCAGAGGTCACTGAGTAGCATGGATGATAGTGCTAGCTTGACCAGGACCAGAGAACACAAGTGACTGCATGTTCAGATTGCTCATCCAACACACCATTGTTGTAGCAGCACCTCTTTCCTTCCTTGCACCATGTCCATATGGAGAGGTCCTTTATATACAGCTGAATGACGAAAGGGGCCACATCTGCAATTGTTTAATCTACAAGTATGAGCTTAGAATGTATGACAATGCATCTTAAGCATACTTGGGGTGAGCTTGAAAGATAGTACCCCCCAAAATCTTCTCATCTGAGTCTTCAACAATATACTTGACCTGTTTATTAGCCTCTTTGTAGCCCGGAAGCTGTATAGGCAGTCAGTGTTCACATTTGAACATGACTTTTGTGATTGATGGGCAGCATGGTATCCCTAGCTGATGAAGAATGGGGAGAGAGAGAGAGAGAGAGAGAGAGAGAGAGAGAGAGAGAGAGAAATAGCTCTAAAAGAGACTCTCCAACTCTTTCAAGGCCTTTTGATTTTTTTTTCCCCAGCTACAGTTTAGTATATACAGGTTTAGTATATACAGGTGGTTGCATCCAGGTGAAAAAGAGGGAGAAAGGGCATGAAAGTAAACTGAGAAGGTTATTGGAATTAAGAGCCCTAGAGTTAAGAATATAGAACTTGATTCTGTTGGAGCATATATTAACTCATCACCAGGGGTTACATTCATCTTTTAACACTGACTCCCTGTATAGCTGCTAGGCTACTATGAGACCATAAGATAGAATGTTTGAGTATCATGGCACTGAGACCTCTTATTTTATACAGAAATGATTAAACTAAGGGGTGGAGAGTTGTCTTGGTGGGTAAGCACACTTGCTGTGAGAGCAACTGTACCTTGTTTTGTATCAGTTTCCTTTTAAGCTTATAAAGACTCAGGAAATTCTGAGATGCTGTAAGACTCAGAAAGCCTCAGGAAGTGCTCAAAACTGACCCTGGACAGCCCTTTTAATCTGATTAGGCCAAAAAAAAAAAGATGGTGGAAGACGATCCATTGGATTAGGGTTTATGTCTTAAGGTCTCATGTTTTCATAAAAAAATGATTGGAGATGATCTGATGAGTGTGGGTTACAAAGAAGTCTCCACCACTGGGGTGTTTCTGGGTCACTTTGCAATGCTTATATAGTAATTATAAGCTTATCTACAGTAATAAGTAATAAGATTATCTACAGTAATCTTAAATCACTAGTCACTCTGCTTTCTTGCTCCCCACTCTGTACATGCACTTTGGTAGAGATGAAAACAAATTATTTTGTGTTATATAAATAGTACTGTTTTGTTTTCTTCACTATACAAAGTGAAATAAATGTCCACCTCGAATTTGACTTGCTCTGTTTTAAAATTTTGTTTCCAATGACTATGAAGGTTTTTTGTGCAAAACTGTGAATTATTCAGTGACAATGTTGCTAACTTCCCTACTCTTGAAAACCATGAAGAATAATGGGAACTAGAGGCTTTCCGACCCAGATGAGTGTCCCATGTAATACCTGCCAGTCTACTAGAGGGAGCACGCGGACCAACCACAGTATTTGCGATTATAGATCTTCATTTTGGTCTTTTCTATTTACATATTTTTGGTATATTTTTCTTTTTATTAAAGTATGAAATACTCAATATATTGATCTTTTGGAGAATGCAATACACTGTCACTGTATTACAACTGAGCCATTAGTCGTGTTGCTTCGTCAACATTAGCTGGTTCATTTTCATGGTGCTTCAGCTCTTTCTGCACAGATGTAAGAAAAAGGCTTTTTGAAAAGTTCGCAAGTTCTTTCTGTATGTTTACAAAAGCTCTGTTCATTCTATTGACTTTTTCATCATTCATAATGATATCTTCTTAAGAATAGTAGTAACTGGTTTTGCCTTGTTTTTAACCTTGAAGGTTTATTTGGTTGGCTATGTGAAATACATACCTGGACTTCTGCCCTTTCAATTTGTTCTTAGTCATTGTCTTCTCACCACTTTTTCAAGTTCACAGGGCAGCTCAGGTTCCCAGCCAAGCCATCCATAATCTCAGAACACAGGAAGTTCTGGTCTGGTATATTTTTCATATGCACAATGTTATGCTTCTTCTTGTTTCACTATCTTGAAACCGGTCAAGGTCTTTTTCTCACAAGGATGTCAACTAGTGAGCTCAACGTGGGCACCCTCTTATCTATTGAGGCTCAGCTACTCGGTGACCCTCGTAGGCCAGGACACCTAGGTCATCTGGCTGTTGGTCATTCTCTTTTCTTGCTTTTAATGTCTTGGTCCAACACCACAACTGTATGTATGTGGTTTTACCATAGTTCTAATGCTTCCAGAACGTTATTGATTTAATTGCAATTGGAAGAAACCTCTGATATTATCTGAAGTCATCTTCTATGCTACTGTGCAAAATTCTGATACTTTCACCTTAGCTGATCCCAGGGTCACAGTCTAGCATGATTGTGGGTGCAAATTCTGAGACAGTTGCACATGGATGACCCTGACCAGCTGCCTATTTCATAGTTTAAGTATATCGGAGAGATACTTTAACATCCTTCCCTCCTTTCCCTGAAAACACAACACTGATAATGTATATTTCATATTAATCTCAGGACATCATTCAACAAACAAGAACACACTGCACTTTCAGTAGGACAAGTTACTCTGGATGCTGGGTTGTAGATTAGCTGGAAAGTTCCTTCATTCTACCACAGGATGGTATCATGCAGATGTAATGCTTAATGGATGCACTCAGTAGTTAATGGCTTGAAAGTGAGGTTGCTGTATATACAGAGTAAGGAAGCCTCATTAGGAATGGTCACAATCTTAGCAAAACTTGGTTTTAAGTATGTCAAGAGTTTGTAGCCTTGCTACTAATGAGGATAATACAAACTGTAAAAATATATTGGGCAAACTCCATTGAGATCCAACAGATTGTTCTCTTTGCAGAGACACCCCACAGTGCAAATCAAACTGGGCAGGAAATGCACCACTCATTTCTACAACAAAATGATACATTGGAAAGACAGACAGCTGGTGTCCTTCTCAGATTGAGATTCTAGGGTGAAAGGTGAGGGAAAGGCAAGACAGAATAGAATAGTAAAGTGGGGTTGCTCCATCCCAGACTTAATAAAGCTCTTCCTTCTGTCCAAGCTGTTGGGCTGGCTGAACCCCAGGAGCCTTGTTTGGATGCTCTGCAATTTCACTACTAAATCTTGTGTGTGTGTGTGTGGGGGGGAGAGTTGGGGAAGAGACATAGGCAGCCAGATAGGGAGGTTGTGCCTGCATGGCTGGAGAGGGGATGGGGACAGCTGGATACAGGGCTTGATGAAGATGGACAGCAGACCACACACAGAACACAGGGGGAGATCTGGCAACTTTCAAGTAAGAAAGACCATAGCCATGGGAAAATCAGAAGATTAAATTTTTTGAAGAGTTGTCATTGCTAAATCTCCACAGTGCTTTGACACTTAACCACACAGAGTATGAATCAAAGTAGAGTTTACCTGCTCTCATGACAGCACATTAGGGCAAAATAGTCTTTTAGGGTATGATATATCTAGCTATGTGGATATTTACAACTGGCCTCTCTGCCCATGTTCTGCTGTACCTTTGTTCCCACTACTCCAATTCCTCTTTGTAAGTTTACTGCAGTGAAGTGTTCAACACCACAAGATAGGGCTCCAAAGCCAAGTACACAGCCACTGAATGCTGAGATGTCAGATGACAGCTCTCTGTTCTTTCTTTAATTTGGGCCTCTTTGTGCTGGGTTCACAAAAGAAAATAGGCAACCTTGGACATTTTGGTAGTAACTTCCTTGTTTTAAAAGTATGTGTTTAGTGTGTGTATGTCTATTGGTGAGGGTGCCTGTCTGGCCATGCCTGTAAATGTAACTTGGAGCATGGGAGCGCCTGATGTATTTGCATGCATGTGTGGTAGTGTGACTATGTGTGGCTGGTTGTGCATGCATAAGAGTCTGGAACTACATCTATATGTAGAGAAGAGACAAACCTGGGCTCGACTAGTCAGTACCCAGGGCTCCTTTCTGCTTTCACTTCTCTGACTCTTTTCCTGAATTGAGTTACAGTGAGAAATGTTCAAAGTCCAAATTCAAGGTAGAGTTTGGGACCTATTCAAGCAGCCAAATCTATCCTAGGGTGAGCTCCAAATGTATTCCTGAATAGGCCCACCATCATCATAGTCCTTGTCTGTACCCATCTCAGGCACCTTTGGTTCCTAGAATTCACATGTTGGCTCCCAACATTCTGGGCACATCCTTTCCCCACTGCAAACAATGTTCATGTGTGTCAGGTTCACACAGAAAGGATGTAATGAGTTTAATATGTGTGTATCTCTCTCTCTCTCTCTCTCTCTCTCTCTCTCTCTCTCTATATATATATATATATATATATATATATATATATACATATATACCTTATTCATCCCAGTTCATCTTTTGGCACTTTTCATCACCAAGCAAAATGCTCAGCATTCCCAATTTATTCTATGAACCAATTTTTTTCTAGCCCCAGGGCACTATCATTAATACTTCTTATGACTATGTTCACTTCCTCTGGGTTGTCCACCCAGGACACAGCAGAACTGTGTGAAGGAAGATTGAGCAGTTAATGGAAAGCAATAGACCCTGCTCCCTGTCTCCACAGAAACAGTTAATCAGTCCAGCTAAATAAGACATTCCCCACTGTGTCAAAATAGGCCACTAGAGTCCTAATGTTACTACACAAACTCCCAGCAGGGAATGTATGTGGTTTCTGATGTATGTCCTTTTACACCAATTAAGTTTGATAAACACAGGTATACAGACATACACATTCCACAAATGTGCACAGAATGAATTCACGTCTGTTACTATAAGTACACAACTGACACTCTCATAGAGATGTATACACACAAACTATTTATCCACACAGTGCAGATATGCATTCATATATACTAACATAGACTGACACTAATATAGTCCTTGTCAACTTCTTGAATGGTTGTACGGCACATACATCTACCTGGATACATATACACTCCTTCTCCAGTATACACAGGAACATGTAAACACAGAAGTAGAGGTAAGGAGGTGGGTGGGCACAGGGGTCCAGGGCTGAGGGAGAGGCTGCCTATAGAGGAAGGGGGAACATAGATTGGGTGCTTGGACAAGTTCCCTCATGACCTCCATCAGTGAGCTGGTGCTTTCTGGCAAGTTGGTGTGCAGGCTCATCCTTATCAGGAGCCCTGCTGAGTGGGCAGAGCCATATTCTCCATCTGCTCAGTTCATGTTCAATGGCTGGTCAGAAGAAGCCTCTTCTTATAGAGATGTTCCAGGTGCTGTCCAGTGAGCTTGGCAGCCTGACAGGTAGATTCTGTAGGGATGCACCTTTGAGCAAAGGGAAGGGGCAGTAGGGGAGTGCATCAGCTGAGAGTTAGGCAGATAAGCATCTGTAAGCATAAGATGTGGTACACAAGATCCACATTTTCCTTGGAACACTGGGGACAAGGTGCTTTGTCTTTCCTGGCTCACAGGGCTTCTGTGATGATTCAATGATGTGATGGGTCAGCAAGGTCACTGACACTTACTATGCACTAGACAAGTATTAGTATGAGTGTTAGTATATAGATTCACAGTAGTTGTCCAAATGCTTTTCTAGGCTGATGGTAAAACAGTAAGCCTGAAATTTCTCAGCTAGTGCTTCTTCACTATGTATGTCTCCTGTAACTAGTAATCAATTCAGCATTGATAGAAAGCTAACTCCTAACTGAACAAATGTATTGAGTCACTACTGTGAGGCAATGTGGAGAAGAAATAGAGGCAAGAGAAATTCAACTAACTTTAAAGGGAATAATTGAACACATACTAACTCCAGCCTGACACTACTCCCTCTCTTCTACATACCCTTGTTGGCAGCATGATTTCGCACTTACCCTGATATATCTCTTTGGCAGGGCCTCCTCACTCCTATACCTCCCCACTCCTATACCACAACTCCACACTCAAAGTACAGGGTACTTACAAATGATTCCCAACTTTTCTTAGTCAGAATATCTAAGCCATGCCTAGTCCTTCCTCTGTATATTCCAGGCCAACTTAGCTTGAATTATTTTTCCAATGCTCTTTTTAGCAGGTGGACAAGGTGCATGACAACCAGGAGAAAGCCAAAAGTAATAAAAAAGCAATTTTAACACCTGAAGGAGATTAAACAGACAGGCCCCAGGAATGTTTGTGAACCAGGATCAGATTATCCTCATTCCTCAGCCTGGCTATTCTCTGTTCTCTAACTACTCCCAAGGGCATTTCTAGGCTGATGGACTGTTCAAAGAATTTGAAAGGTGAGAATTTTCTAGCAGGAAGATATCGATGTGCAATTCACCTCCAAGTTTTCCTCAGTCTTTCACCTCTGGTTTCATGTTTTCTCCAGATCCCCATTAATTCATAAAAAAGAGAAGTGCCCAATAGATTTGATTGCCCCCAAACAAACAAACACTTGCCAAATAAAATGAACAAATAGTAGAGGGATAAACCAAACCAAAGGAACTCTGAAGGAAACACATCATAGTATTTCTGCTGCTGTGGGGTATGGGAAACTAATAGATGCGGTACAACCAGCAAACCACATTGAAAACCCAAAGGAAAGAGGGAAGAGGAAACAGAACCCCCTGTCAACTTTAGGGACCCAGTCAGGGCTAAAGAGCTGGAAAGAAAACCCTTCATTAAAGGAGAACCCAGGGCTTGGGGGACAATTCTTCTCAGACTCTGAGCTACCATACTTCTCTTGGTTACAGGCCATCAGTAAGACTCCAGATGCTGTCAGCATCCCCCTTGCACTGTTCATCAAGGCCAAGCCAGCTGCTTTTGGTACTGATGTCATCCTGTAAGCTGTCAATATTGTCAAGTTTCCAACTCGCTTCTTCCACACACCGCTGTCCACTGTCAAGCACAAGCCTTCCACTAAGGGCTGCTTCCATGGCTCTCATCAGAGCTTAGGCTCTTTTGGAGTCTTCATCGCCATGGGTCTCAGAGCGGCTGTGGATTTTGGTGGGCATAATACTGTCATTAGTGAGAAAGCCATGAAAGTGAGTGGTACAGTCATGTAAAGTTTGCTGAGAGTTGGAGGTCAGATCACTCAGGCTTTCTCCAGTGGCTAATTGGGCTTGGCTCAAGATGGCTGAGGATTTCTGAGGTAGCCAGCTGGGCCTGCTCTGAGGGGAACACCAAGGATCCAAGACTTTCTGGGCTTGCCAGATGAGCCTGCATGGGGCTGTCTGGAAGGGAACCAGCTCTGTCATCCAATCTGTCTTCCACATTAACCAGGCCATCCTTGGAGGAGATAATGGGTAAGCTGATTAGTTCCATATCACATATGGAACACACAGGAATGGGGGAAGAGAAAAGAGAAGGAACTTTCCTAATTGGTGCTTGCAATGCTACTGCTGATGTCTTTGATAGACAGAGCCATCTTCAGTTGAGCTCTCTGGGGAGCTTAGAGAGATTCAGAAACAGAACCAGGAGATTTTAGCATGCAGAGAATGCCATAGCTTCAGCCAATCAACTGTCTCCCCGTTGTGACCTCCTGAGTATCATATATAGGCTTTCTAGGTTTCAGGAGGCTGAACTTTCTGCAAAGGAGTGGTGTTGCTGGCCATTCATGTATACCCCAAAGCAAAACTCTCAGTATTTTCCCAGATGTCTGAAGTGGAAGGGAAGGTAAAGCATGAAGGACAGCTTCTCTGGTATCTGTTTTCTTTCCAGTCTCCCTGTGCCCCGCCTTCCCTTCTTGCTTCATCACTTACTCTGGAAGCCCCTAAAATAGAGCAAATTTGTATCAAAGATCTAGAGAAAAGAACTCTGACTTTTTTTTTTTTTGCCTTGTGATATCAAATAATGATCATCTAAAGATGAGTGTGGGCATGCTTCCATATACAAGGAAAATATGAAGATTAAAGCAATTACGAAATGTGAAAGGGTCAAGTGCTGAGCCTAGGCTGAGGAGGTGCTCAAAGCAAGCTGGCTGTCAGTAAAAATGTCAAACCTGCACATTTCCCACCACCACTTCTTGGTAGAGGTATAGGGCAACAACTCTCCTGACTTTCCTGCATCTCCTGCGATTACACTGAGGTCCTTCGATGAAGAAAAGGTAGTTGATGTAGACATATTCCAGCAGGGCCAGGAACACGAAGAACAGGCACACAAGGATGTAGATGTCAATGGCTCTGATACAGGAAATATGGGGGTGTTTATCCCACATATGTGAGTCGATGGCAGTCAAGACAAGGATGGAAGTTAGGCCTATGAACAAAACAGAACATGTTTAGTCTTTCTCAATAGCTGCAGTTTTAGCAAGCCGTTGGAGCTATACCTCAAAGGAAGTGAGTAGAGGCCACCTTTGGGGTGAAGGCTCTGCCCATGTCCTCTCCTTGATCCTCCTCCCTATGCTTTACCAGGTTGATTGCTCTGGGTCAAGCTCAAATTCGAGCCAAGGTTTAAGTAATTCACACTTCCAGTTCCATAAACTCTTCCTTTAGCATCTAATGTTTTCTGAATCTTAAAATGTCATATACATATACAGCAATCTGCACCACAAAAGGTAAAAAGGCGCTCAGGAACTCAAAACATTCCATGCCTACCCCCAAACTTAGACCTCAAATTCAAAGTCTTCCCCAGTTTTGCCTTTCCTTATTTTCTAAGCAAAATGACCCAAATTTCTTCCTGAGATGGAGATAGAGAAACCCTACCAATAGTCACCCTGGCTGTAGAGGAATCATAGATCATCCAAAATTATATCCAGGAGAGAATGGTGGTGAGGATGTGGGCCAATAGACCTGCACAAGGTGACTGTGGACTTCCCCCTGAACCTGGAACTTCACTATCAGGCACATGTAAGAGCCTGTAAGAGCACATACTGGTGTCAGGCCTATGTGGTACAGCAAGTCAGCTCTCACCCCGTCCTGCCTCACTCATTCCACATGAGATGTTTTCAGGCTGCAAACAGATGGAGGGTGAGGGGCCAACCCTGAAGCCACAGAAATCATTTCCAGCTGTAGAATGTTGTCAACCTGCCCAAGCCTTCTACACGTATTCTTCATCTTTAGGGCCTTTATCAAGGAGCAGGGGAGAATGAGATATGTTCAGAACCAAAGGAATGGGAACAGAGGGAGCCAATGGTAAGGATAAAAACAAGATGCCCCTAAGAGTTGGTAGTGGTGTAAAAGGGAATAGAAACCGTAGAGAAAGAGGAGGTCTGGCTCACCTGTGTACAAATCCACCTCCCTGCTGGTAATTGTCCTCCGTTGGTAGGTACACTGAGGTATGTGCAGCTCATCAGTAATGTGAATGTCATTATCATCTTCCCAGGATAACACAACGTCTTCGACAGTGTAGCCATCTGGGAGGTGAAGCAAGAGTTTATCTAGGCAGGTTTCACTCCACAGAAGTCTGTGAAAACCAAAGCATGGTTGACCCTTGGAATTTGAGGGGCTCCATTGTACCATTCTGAGTGTGAGCATGGGGAAGTCTAAACTCTTGCTAAGAGAGGACTTTCACTCTGGAGTTTTTAGGCAGGAAGGAATGTGTAGCAAAAACATGCTATGAACTTTTACCCATGAGTATGCATAGTTTCTCAGTTGTATTACCTACAAAATAAAGGCCACCTACTCCAGATGCAAGTACATACAGCTGTATGTCAGTGTATTAGGCAGCCATCATCCATCTATCTTTTATCTGCTTGTGAACATGTGTGGGTAGAGAGAAGGGAGTGCCTAGCAGAGGAGCTGCATGGTTCCTCGCAGTGTCAACTCTACTCATGCTGACTGCCACGGCCCCATTCAGGGATGAAGGGTCCACAGGAGAAATACGTACAGCTCTCCACCTGCAGCTTGCAGCCTTGTTTGTACATAGGGAATTTTTTCATGTTCCAGGAACAGGCTGCTGTTGTGGTAAGTCTGCAAAGGAAAACAAAAAGGAAGGGGAAAGAATTCAAGCTTATTCCTTAGCATTCTCTAGGGTGGGGAGGCAAGAGTTAGCTGGAGGATTGTCCCATGTGTATGGAATTAGGGAGGGGGAGAGAAAGAGAGAAAATTGGAATTTGACAAAGAATCGACAAGATTTGGCAGAACTGAAACAAAGAGCAGATCTATGTCATGCCAGAAAAAGCACAGAGCATGCGAAAAGGAGGGGGCATTGAGGAAACAATACAGAGACAGAAACACTTGTGCCTCTTAGAGTATCAGCGAGGCTGTTGGGAGAACACTGTGTGCTATGTGTAATGTGCTGAGGCTGCACAGCCATTGAGGAAGGCAGATATGGGGTGTGCAGGGACAGAGTGGGCAGTGACCCAGGCCAACCTCAGACCATATCTACATCCAGGTCAGTGGTGGGCCTATGTGGCGCTTGGGGCTACACAGATGTCAGTGGGGACAAAATCCCTATCCATGAAGGGCCCAGACAGTGCTGACAGTAGATACAGCCAGAAGAGGCATTAACTTGCTGTGCTGTGTACCCAGAAGATGAATCTGAGCAAATGGCCTTGGACCAGCCAGGAAGGTGGCTTCTGTTTGAAAAGAGCAAAATGAAAATAACTCCCTACTGCCTCACTTCTGTCCTATCTATTTTTCTTCTCTTCGCATCTGCTAACCATGCCTAGGCCCTGTCAACCCTTGCAGGAATTTCATTTTGGTGACTGGGTAATGTGTATATGTATGTGCGCTTCCACCTTTTCAAAAAAATATATTTCCCAAGTATTATTCATCCACCATGCCTCCCTTAATTTAAATAAGAGGGATTACTGATAGGTTTCATGGAAGCAATGATATTCCATGACTTCATGAGAATGTGGATGGAGATAGGAGAAAGAAAAGAGCACCCCAGGATAAGAGAAACTCAATGATTAGATGTATAACAACCTGCCAAGCAAACCGTGGTAGGTACCACCAGGAAACAGTTTCTGGGCTAAGATGACCTCTCAGCTTACATTTACTGACAAGCAGTTTGAGCTGAAACTGTAAAGTCAGCTATGGTGGTTGCTCTATTACAAGTGGAGAAAGAGAAAGGGCCACTGTAGACAGAAGTAGCAGAAGCAAAGGTGTGGGAACAGGGAAGCCTAGGATGTATGTCTCTGGAAAGCTCTGAAAATGTATGTGCATACACGGCAGATGTGGAAAGCATGGGTCTCTTCTGTATATCCCTTCTAATGTATTGTATTTGTGGGATACACAGTAGGAAGAATGAAGATTTCTGGGACCACCCAAGGCTCTTGCAGGGACTCACCGGATGCCGTATCGCACTGTCCCTCCTGAGTGAAGCTTAAAAACACGATTCTCCACAGTTACAGCATGCACAAAGGCATCTTTGCTAGTCACAAAGTAGCAGTCAGGGACCCAGAGTTTCTCCTGCATCTGATATTCCAGAGTCAGCTTCAGGTTGGTCTCATAGTAAGCTAAGCATTTGTCCTTCCATGTCTGATGCAAAAACATTGTGATTGTATAGTCCTGGGGAGAGATAGGTGAACGACAGCTTAGCTCTCTGTCTTCTGTATACACAGATTATATGTGCACACATACATATGCACCACAATATGAAACCATGTAAAAAAGTACCATGCATGCTCAAAACAGGAAGAGATCACAACGGCAAAGTGAAAGTGGCCACTTGCTTTCAGCGAAAGCTGAGAACAGGTGAGGCTTAGTGGTGCTTCCACCTAACCAACATCAGTACAACCTGACTCCTGTTTTGAGCAATGTGTGCCTTATGAAATATACTTATATACATAGTCTAGCTCACAATAGCTTTTTTATTTATTACAGTTTATTCATTTTGTATCCCAGCTGTAGCCATCTCCTTCATCCCCTTCCTCCCTTTTCTCCTCCCAATCCCCTCTCCTAGTCCACTGATAGGGAGGTCCTCCTACCCTTCCATCTGGCCCTAGCCTATTAGGTCTCATCAGGACTATCTGCATTGTCTTCCTCTGTGGCCTGGTGAGGCTGCCCCCCCTCAGGGGGAGGTGATCAAAGAGCCATCCACTGAGTTCATATCAGAGACAGCTCCTGTTCCCCTTACTAGAAAACCCATTTGGAGACTGAGCTGCCATGGGCCAAAAGGAGACCAACAGAACCGAAATATCTGGGCCCAGGGGCCTTTTCTGAGACTGATAATCCAACCAAGGACTATTCATGGAGATAACCTAGAATACCTGCACAGATGAAATACATCTTTTCTTACCCTGCTTTACAAGGATAGTGTTAGTGTGCTTTTAAATCTTTAAAAAGCTTTGTTTTTTCAGTTGATCATACACACATGACTGAAATTTTTGGATATGCTGTGACTTGGGCCTTCAATTGATTTTTTTCCAGAGGGCTGTGACTTTCAAACCTACCAAACTACCATTTCCCGTAGTTCTGTCACATGTCAGAACAATTAGAACTGGGTTATGACTGTACTTCTTGTCCCTTGTCTCCAGCACCATCATTGGAATCTATAGACTTACCATATTTATTTCTGAGATCTGCTCAATACTGGAGACACAGATAGGTGCCAACACAGCCACAGGGGCACCTACAATACAGGAAGATATAATCACATGAACCTTTGGGTAAAAATTAAGAGTATGTAAGAGTTTGTACTTATGTCTCAGTTGTCTAAGTTAAAACTGGTTTTGAAATTTGCTGGTTGTGTGGTCTTGAGTAAGTCACTGAACATCTCTAGGACTGGGGTTTCCTGAGGGTCAAACAGGGATAATGTTAATAAAATTAATGAAAGTCAAGTGCTTAGAGCAAGGCCTTACTGACACTAAGTTGAAAGGAGGGTATAAGGGCAACATAAAAAGAAAATATGAAATGAAGCACTTTATGGTAAATATTTCTGACACTGAAATTGGAACTTGACTAATGTTTTCTCCTGGTTGTGAAAAATGTGCTCTGGAAAGTATACATTGGAACTGAAACTCAACCATCCCACAAACAAGAGCTGGGCAATTCATGGTTATGTGTGAGTGAATGTGAGCATATCCATGCTTACTAGTGACTTTGGAAATGTGTTCATATTAAGGTGAATCTGTCTTTATGTGTGTGATCATGTCTATGTATGAATGAGTGTGTAGGCATATTTGTGTGATCCACTGTGTTGTATGGGAGACAACATATAAGAGAATGCAAGTGAAATATGAGGATATTTATCATGAGGTAGCAAATGAGTGACTGAGTGTTATGTGAAGAAATATGTAAGCATGTTTTTTTTTTTTCAGTATGTTTTGGGAAAGTAGGTCTGTAAGCATACATAAGTATTTAGATGGGGTGTCTGGAAAATGTTTGTTGTGAGCACTGTTGTATGTGAGTGAATGTGTGATGCTCATATGTGGGTGTCTGTATGCTCATCTGTGGGTGTCTGTGAGCATGATTGTGTGTATGAATGAGTTTGTATGCATAGGTGAATGTGTTTATATGTCAGTGTGAGTATATTTGGGTGAGTGAACATGGTTTTATTTTATGTGACCATGGTCATGTGCAGTGCGGTAAGCCATGTGTATGTGTAAGGATGCTAATTTGCTAGTATGTTTGGGTATGTGGGTATATTTAAGTGCATTAATAATTACAATGTTCATCTGTGATGAATGTGTCAATGTTTGTCCATATGTGGGATTGAATCAGGGCGTGTTTTTGTGTAAGCAAGCATAACTGTGAGTGAATGTGTATGATTCTATGAGGGTAATAATGTATAACATGAAAAATTCATAGGTATATTAAAATATGAGCATGATTGTGTATTAAAGTGTTTCTGTATATTAAAGTGTGAGTGGATTTTTAAATATACATAAGTTACACTCATGTATTTATATACATATACATATATATGAGTGCTGATGTCTTGTCAATCTGTCAGAATATTTGTGTGTATAAGTATGAGCATACTGATGTATTTGTTCTTATGGAAGAATGGATTGTGTGTTTGTATATGCATACAAATGATTAGAGGTGTGACCATATTTGTGTTGAGTGAATATGTGATCAAGTGTGCTCATAATTGGGTGCGTTTCTGAATTTGTATGTGTGCGTGGATGTATTTGCCTGCATGTGTGAATGTGTTTTCATGGCAGTGAACATGTACATATGTTCATAATTATGAGTGTGCTCATGCAAATGTCTGATTGGATTGTGTGAGGTGACGTATGTACTAATGTGTGTACATGAATTTTTGTGATTACTTCTATATGTCTGTGTATGATCAAGTGTTTTGTTAATATGTATGCGTGCATGTGTGGCTATTTTTACATAAGTGTTAGTGAGTGAGTTCAGGCCACATTTGTATGTGTGCATTAATGTATAAATTTAAGTGAGTAATCACGCTTGTGTGTGTGTGTCTACGCGAGTGAATTCATGAGTGTGTTCATAAGAGTGAATACTGTGTGATGGTGATTTGATTAATGTGTTAGTGTGACTGAGTGTGTAATTCTGTGTCAGTGTTCTGCCTTCTAATCTTGTTTCCCCGTAGGCCTGGGTATTTGCAGTGTCCACTGGCAAGACTCAAGTATGATCACAGTTGTGGAAACAGTAAGCTGCAAGGTACTATGGAGAAATACATCAGCTTACCGCAAAGTGTATTACATCACACTGCTGCTATGGAAATATGTGTACATGTGATGCTTGCAATCCAGCCTGCTGGTTTCACTGCAGGCTGATTGCCTAGAAGCTGAGCTCAAGAGAGGAAACTGCTGTATCAAATCCAGGGCTTCAAAGAGCAAAGTGCTCTGGGGAATAAGAGTATGAATGGCAGCTGAGAGGAAAATGGGGTTCTCCTAGGGCACAGCCCAGACTCCAGCACTCAGGGCTATTGTCAAAATCCCCAGGAAAGTGCTGCATACTGAGGGAGATTCCTAGAAGCACCATTTGATTGCCACCTTTCAGGATGCCCTCCCCATACTTTCAGCAGATAGCAGCTGTGTAAGTAGGCAACAAACCGCAGAGAGGCCTACATGCCAGCCCTTTCTCTAAGACTTGATTGCCAGGCCTTTACTCCAAGGTCAGACTTCTCTAGACCATCCTAGTGAAGGTGGAATGCTGCGCAGCTAAAGGGCCAGGGCTGAAGCCTGCCCAAGGACTCTTAGCTGAAGGGGAAGTGGGTACTGAAATGAAGGGCCTATACTTCTTTGCCAAGTCATGATATGGCACAGGGTCATAACCAGAGGAAGGACACATTCTCATTTCTCTTCCTAAAACAAACCAGTTAAGGTGAAAATGTTCCCTGCCCTCCTTTCCTGTGCAATGTTGGATGTCTGTGTCACATATGTGTGAGAGAGGGAGTCAGGATCATTCTTGTGTGTGAATCCCTAAAACGATATCCCATCTTAAATACAGACGGTACTGTGTTTATTGGGAAGATATACAGGGAGCCCTGAGTTCCCTAATCCTTAGTGCTCCAGCCTGGGTGTCTCATCAGTGGATCCCCCACCATATTTCTCCCACCGAATAGTCCAGCCTTGTACCTTGTAGTGTTTCCTTCTGTCTAAATGGCAGGTGGTCCTAAGTTCTCTGTGTCCCCTTCCTCTACTGCCTCCATCTGTTTGGCAGTATCGATGCAGGGGCATATCTTATCAGGTGCTCAAGCCTGGCATGATCATAATACTTGGTGTAACATGAAAGTTGGTGGCAAGGGGCCTCAGGCCTACTCTGGACCAACTGTGCTGGCCAACACCCAGAGATGCACTCTTATCTCAGTTCCTTTCTTTTAGTCCTGGATGCTGCAGGGAGGGCAGTCTGAGCCTGAAACTGTGAGGAGAGTGTCCTCATTGAGTGCAGATTGCTATTGTTTGGCCTTTACTAACAATCATTAGAGTGCGAAAGAGGCAAGAAAGAAAGAAAGATTTTCCTGTCATCCTCTGGGGCTTGGCACAAATGATTCACAGGGTAGTAAGGGGTATTGGCTGTGCTTTAACACCTGAATTTCTACATGCCCACTTCCCTTGGGGATGCACATGGAAAATGTGCTGTCACTGTGTCCTCAGTAGCATAAAGGTATTGACATTTTGTGCCTTCTGCCTTTTTCAACCCTGTATAGCATGCATATACTCACGTTAGGGCTCTTGGCCTGTGCCTTCTGCCCACATGTAAGGACGAAAGGGAAGCACCTGCTGATGGTCTTACCTCTTAAATTTAGAGTCAAGGGAAACTTCCTTGTTTCTTAAGGTGGCACAGTGTTTTCAGAAGATGGTTACATATGAGCACAAATGTGAATAATTAGCAGAAACTACTCATTAAACTGTGTTCCATCATATAGGAAGTTGCCATGTGCTGTAGCTCTTCCTGCTATGTTTGAGCTGAAATGTAACTAGCCCAGATTTAAGGTACTTTTTCTTTTGCCTGTCCTTGTTTTAGAGTTCTATGGTCTCCCATTGCTCACTGAATGATATTCTTATTTTGTGGGGTTTGGGTCGGCTGCCCACCACTTAAAGTTCTGTGTGATCCAAGAGAAGCAGAAATCTAGAAAGTGCCCATTGGCTTCTTGGAAGTTTGTGTGTGTTTTCTTGTCATCTCTTGTCTTGATGCTTCATTGTTGGTGGCTATTAGGCTGAATTTTACGATGTAATACAGTACGGTAGATGCACTGAGTTTTGTGGGATCTCAAGGGTTGGAAAAGTAGGGCATTATAAAATGGTCCCAGGCTTAGGTGTATTGGGCAACACAGTCAGAATGCCATAATAGCTTCTCCTAGAATTGCCTAAGGATGCCAACACCTTTCGAAGTGAGTATGGAGGAGAAGGTCTCTGGCATAGAAAGTATGGTATATAGATGTGAGATACATTTCAGGAAGAGAACAGAAGGCCCATGGTTGGGAGTCTGGGAGTGCTCCCTTGCAGAGCTTGGCAAACTCAAGAAAGTAGGGCCTGTGGACCAGAGATATAGAGCCTGGTTAATTTACAGGGTGGATCTGGCCTCTAGTGTTTACATTTGGCTTACCTCCAAAATTTGGTCTCAGTTGGACATCAGATGTTGACAGCACCCTGTCCAAAATCATTTGAACCACAGACTCATTTGCACAGTTTTTGCTGAAACAGAGAAGTCGAGAGTAAATTCTAGTTGATTTGTGGCCCACTTGCCAGTGTCTAGTTTGCCAGGACCATCACTGTTTCTGTACATATGCAAAAATTTCCAGTCATATGTGTTTGTGCTCTCTCCCTCCCTTCCTCCTCTCCTAGTCTACAGTGAGTCAGGCAGAAGCACAGCAGTGATGCAGACTCTTTGTTCCTCCCCTTTATAGCTTTAATCCAGAGGGCCCAGAGACTGGATCCCTGTTACCAGCAAGAAATAGTTGAGGAGAGGGAGGAAAGTCTACCATAGGAGAGGAGGGAAGGTGAGCAGTTTTAGTTTTCTGAGAAACTGCACCATGAGGTACCCTTGGATGCTGACTACTGGCAATCTTCTTTCCACTGGTACCTTACTGCCCTGGGAAGTCATCTCCCACTGGCAAGTGCCGCTTGAGCTGATCTCATGTTTTCTAGCTTAAAGACACATTTCTTTTATCTGGTCTGGGTGTTTTTCCCCATAACATTTATGTGAACATTGTGTTTGAGAGTTGGTATATGACATATGATGCAGAAAGAGAGAGGTGTGAGGAGGGAGAGAGTGAGTGTCTTGCTCAGGTAGCAGAGATTTATACTCTCATTAAACTCAGATTCCTGGGGGTTAGGGCTGTATTTGAAAAGATCCATCCTGGGAGTAAGCACCTCACTCACTAAGCATGTGCTTTCAGTCTGGACGTATCTTAGGTGGGCACATGGAAGTGAAGCCAGCCCAGCTGCACAGAGTAGGCCTTTCCAGATGTTTCTGAGATGCTCATTGAATTAATCTAGACTTTCATTCCCCAGAAGGTTTTTAAATGACAGCAGGCTCCAGGCATCACTATCACTGTGACTCTTCATATCTTTGACGTATTGCCCTGTGATCTCTGTCTCTCTGTCTCTGTGCTTCTCTTTCTTTGCCATTTCATTGCTCACTGACTCTCCCACTCCCTGTATGTGCTCACTGATGCAATCTGAGAGCACTGCAGGGCTGCCTGCTGGAACCTTGCCCAGCTTAACCCCTCCTGCTTTCTGAATAAAGTTTATTTCTAGTTTGCCCTTAAAATTATTCCTCAGTTCCCTCTGTCATAAAATTTATTTTGTAACATCTTAAAGTGTGCGCATGAATAAATTCCAAATTTAAGAAATACATTCCCACTTGTTTCTGTCCACAGATTTCACATGTGCCAGTGTTCCAGATTTCTAGCCACCGCAAATACATATTTTGGGTGTGTATGCGATCTACATGTTAAGGATGAAAGTTTATCCCCTCTTCAGAAACTTGCAGACTTAAACAAACTTTAAATCAAACACCGAGAAACACTGAAATCTTCAAATGTTTCCACAGGAGTAAGCACAAAAGGAAGGAAGAGCCCCCTCCCCACCCACCCAGCAGATTGCCTCAGCAAAGGGACTGAAAAATCTTTACTCAAACAGGTGTCTTTTCTGTTTTGCAAATTGCCTGTGTACACTTCCCAATCACACAGGTGTCAGAGAACGTGACTGGGAAAAGCTGACTGGGACCTCAGTCTCTGAGGATGATCAGGTAGACTCTGTAGTTGAGGGGGCTTATGGCCTCAAGGCTTGGGTTAACAGTAGGCATTGTAAGGCGCAGCAGTAACAGGTGGGTTGAAGCTAGGACTATCTTTTCAGGGTTGTCCCCATGCCTCCTTTATCCTCTAGACAAGCCTGGGTCCTAGTCCTCTGCTTTAAGCCCGCTCTGTCCAAGAAGCCAAGTCCTTTCCATTCTCACCCAGGCTGGGCTACTTACCAGTTGATGAGATCCAGGATGACTTCTGGCATGCTGGAGGAGAGCTCGAAGTAGAATTGCGGGGTGGAACTGGGGTCGTTGCTCTCGGCCAGCCAAGTCCTGATGAGCAGCAGGAGAGCTGAAGCGCGCAGTGTGCCTCGGATGTCCATGGCTGCGGTGCTCTTGGGGACTGCAGCTGACAGCTGGAAAGCCGGACGACACGGTTAGGGTGGGAGAGTAATTACTGGAGAAAGGGAGCGGGATCATTAGCCCTTCCTTAGAATTGTGACTCTAAGGAGAGACCTGAAGGGAGCAGGGAGTATGGGGTCGGTTCAGAGTCCTCAGCCACTCCGAAGCAGCTCTCCCCGAAGCAGCAGTCCACAGGGCACGCTGGGCCGCTAAAAGGTGCAGGTGCGCTCCCGTCGTCTGCTACCATTCAAGGCTGAGACTCGGTGATTAGTGGGGCGGGTGCGCGGCTGGCTCCTCCCACTCCGACGGCTGCACCAGTTGAACCAATCCCTCAGGTGCCAGGAGTGCCACCAAAAGGCGCTAGCTTGGGTCTCCACCCCGCAGGCTGCCTGCTGCCAGGTCCCGCCCCTTCAGGCCTATGCAGTTCTACCCAGACCAGCACCAGCAATGAGTGAGGGAGGGCTTACTGCAGAGATTGTGCCACAGCAGAAACCAGGGGCATCTGGCTCTGGGCCTCTTCTTTGCAGAAAGAAAATGATGTTTCTTTTAGAAGATTTCTTGTCCAAGAGTTTGTTGTGAAAGGAGTGTGGCCATTTGATTTTCATGGCTGGATGTGCACCCTGAAACACTTGCAAACTTTAGAGGAATCAGGAGGTTGTGTGCAGACCAGCAACTCAATGTGCTTAACCCAATGTGTTTCATTTTTGAGTGGGTTGATGGAATCTCTTACCAAGGTGTCTTATGATAGGGCTTTGACCACAGAGGATGGAAATTTTCTTCTTGGAGCCAAATTTCCCAGAGGGTTCTTAGTTTCAGTTTTGGGTTCTCAGGAAAAACAAATTCAGGGACCTGAAAATATTCACCAGTTGGAGTCTTCCTAAGGTGTCATTCATTGCCTTAGACAGGGAGTATAGAGTTGAAGTGAGGACCCCAGGCTGACACTATTGAAAGGTAAAAGAAGGCAAAAGTCAGTGTTTTTTTGATGTGCACCAGAGGGTTTTTGTTGTTCTTGTTGTTTGTTTTTTAATTTCCCCTACCTAAAAACTACTGTTTCTACTTCTGTTATGAAACAGAAGAGCATGGAAGACTTCACACTATCCCTTGTGTCTCAGCTTGGGTCCATGACAGAGCTAGTTCAAAAGAAGCATCACAAGAGCCCATGTGCCTCATGATAAGAAAAAGGGCTCAGTCATGTTCACTAGCATTGCACCTCCCAGGTCACACCATAGAGAAGGGCCGAAGTAAAACGGATCTCAAGTCCAGTCTTCCTTAACTAGGCACATACAAATAGAAACACACCCTTTCTGCTTTCCCTCAGTACCCAGTAACTCAACTTTAGATTGATTGAGCCAAGAAAAGCTTCACTAACCTGATTTTCACAATGTCTTACACAGTTGCAAATTTACTCTCCTTTTGAAAAGACATGGTAGAAGCAAACAAAATATTCCATGTTCCGTAGTTTCATGATTTTCCTAAAGTGCAGAGTACTCACATCTTCCTTTTTTAAAATCTTCCTTCTTCCCCTACTGTTACAGGAAATGGGTATGAAAAGAAAAAGGAATGATGGGATTCACATATTGATGATCACTATTGATGATCACATATAAGTGAGATCCAAGCCTTGCAGCTTATTCTACTATGTGAATTCCAGAGATCAAATTTAGGTCATCGGGTTTGGTGGCAAGTTCCCTTACCAACTGAGCCATCTCATCTCCCAAAACTGCCTTTTGGTCTTCACAGATATATCATAGCATGTCCCCACCATTTACACATACAATGTATACACAGTATAAAATACTTAAAAAATCCAGACTGCATGTGGGATCATGGTCCAGGGAAATCAGTGCTGCCTTGGAAGTTCTCTTATTGTGAGTCCTGTCACTTCATCCTGGATCATCCAGACATCCTTACAGAGATTCTTTCTGATTCTCACCAAAAGGTAGGGCTAATCTATATCCTTATGCTTAACCAGCTGGATGGAAATATGGGTAAACTGAGGTTCAGAGAAATTGATCCAATGTCACATAGTACTAGAGAGTCAAGCTAGAAATCTTATTTGCAGGTTTGCCTGCTTCCGTTGACTAAAAATTCCAACAACTACCATCAGGTGGGAGTAGTTTTGTTTGGGAGATTTTTCCAGCACAGAGGAGTCAAATTCTGCAGGCAATTAATTGCTCTGGCCTCTTGTTTGTTAGAAAGAGTTTTAAAGTTGAAATTCTGTTCTTAAATGTCTCTGTGACTACGGATATTTCCAAAAAGTTGATGTCAATGATTTATTTTCAGACCTTAAATCCCAAAGGACCCACTTCTGCCTTCCTTGGAGGTAATATTTCTTTGAAATTTCTGATTAATAAGACCAAATAACACCCCAAAATGTAGCTAGATTTATGCATACATTGCTGCAATGGATACTGAATGAGCCTTTGTCTCAGCGTATTTTTATACCCACAAACTTTTGGGCTGGGTCTGGTGAGGTGGCTCAGTTGGTTAAGAGGACTTGCGATCAAACCTGATGACCTAAATTTTTTTTTAAAGGGTTTTCTTTTAGTTTATTTAATGTACATAAAGCTAGATATATTTATATGTAAAACCAATAAATTTTTGTTTGTAGATGATTCTTCTGCTGTCCATCCAGGTCATTATGTTCTAGATTTCTGAATACAGCCCTCAAAGATGGTCCATATATACCTATCCAAAGATGGTCCAGTGTGCCCTTTATTCTTTTATCCTTGGCTTAACTTCAAAGTTCTCAACCTGTGGGAAAGTTTTTCAAATTCATATGATAAAATAATTACAAAAATTTCTACATGAGGGTTAGTTTTGAAAGTGTTAAAATGAGGGAATATTAATAACCACAGAACCAGATGGGCTACATGAAGCCAAGATTGTCTTGTAAGCCCAAGAGGATTCCCATGGTTAAAGGAGTCCCCAGGCCTGCATACGTGGGATCTGTAGAGACCTACCCAGTGTAGATGACCTAAATTTGATCCCTGGAATTCACATGGTAAACTAAGAGAACTGACTCACACAAACTGCCTTTTGGCCTTCACAGATATGTCCCTACCATATACATAAACTAAACTAAAATGAATGTATAAAATACTTTTAAAGATCCAAGCTGGATGTGAAATCATGACCCAGGAAGATAAGTATTGTCATGGAAGTTCTCCTAGCTGCATTCTCATCCTGTACTTCCACACCACAATGAAGAGTATAGTTTGGTAGTAAGACAAGAAATAATGAAGTAGGTTAGAGCACTTACTGCTCTTGCAGCGGACCTGAGTTCAGCACCTAGCACCCATGTCAGGGGCCTTATAAATGTCTGTAACTCTAGCTCTATAGAGTGGTTTATAGTATTTCTCTCTATAGAGTGGTTTACTATATTCTAAAAGAAATTTCAAAATATATGCAGGAAACACGAAATCACCAAAAATGTTAAAGACATTTTGAAAAAGAATTGAAGAGAAGGATTACATCTAAAACCATTAACAATGAAACTTGAGAATTGAATGGCTGGGCTAAACAGAAGGGCAAACACAACTAAAAAATAATTACTTTGGGAGATATATTATAAGTAACAGTCCAAAGTTCTGCATGGAGAAACAAATTACATGAAAACTTTAAAACTGAGAATAAGAGACCCAATGGGTAGATTGAGAAGGGTCACCATATATAATGTATAGATATAGATACAGATACAGATATAGATATAGATATACATATAGAGATAGAAAGATAGAGAGATAACGAAATAGAGCTAGGTATAAACACAGGCATAGATATAGATAGATAAAATAGAATGGGAGAGAAAATGGAGATGATCCAAATTCATGGCTTCAAAGAGCTCCAGGCAGAAAGGACACATGAAATAAAATCTACTTATAGATACATCATAATAGAAATGCTGAAAACCAGAAGTAAGGAAATCCAGTTAGAGTGCTCTGTTGTCTAATGTCTATTATAGATCTAATAGGCCTATAGCTCTATTACCTTCTGTTTTCACTGGTCACAGAAGAGAAGACTATTATCTATGGGTGTGAAATATTTCTTGTAGTTCATCCCTAAGTCAGGAAAAATATGTAGTATTTTTTTTTATTTAAGCGAAAGACTGACAACGTGAATTGTTTTAAAAAGTCAAAATAAAATGAACCTCCCCTTCATTTATTTTTTTATTGTGCTCATTAGTTGGTCATAGTACTGGATGTCATAAGAACACATTTATACAGGTATATAATGTGCTTTGACCAAGTGCTCCACCATATACCTTTTCTCTCCCCACTTTTCTCTTCTCCTCTTCCCTTTGGTTCCCTTTAGATCTTTGTACAAAAATATCCTTCAAATATCAACATTTGCTCTGTTTCTATTAAACAAGCAACTCTATTGGTGGAGTTGTTTTCTTGTATTCCCCGCCCCACACTGGACTATCTAACTTTGCTGCAATGGGATGAAGTTTCTGCATACACAGGGCTAAACAGACAATAGGCTAGATTTTGGGAGACTGAGCCTCTTTCTTGTCACTAGATTGGTTTATACAGGCTGACTGAAAAAATTTCCTCCAGTCAGCAATGGATAGAAGGTAAAATTCTCTTCCATATGAGAGGTCACATCTGAATTTATTTGTTTGGTTCAAAATACTTTGTGGATTGCTTTGATTCGAAAGATGCTCTCATACACATCCCCAGAATACCCTTACTGCAAGAGTGGATAATGGGACAGCAGGTCATCAGAATACTGTCCAAAGACAGTATTGTAGCAAGTGGTAAGTGATCAACAATTTTCACCAAGTGTTACAATGGAAGAGGATTCTGAATTTCTGATTTTGAGTATCTACATTTTTCATTTTGCTGGGCCTTGATTGTTTATGTCCTTTTATTACAGTGAAGTGCAGGAATATAAAAAAAATGTTCTGAATATATGGGTTTTTCTCTAGGGCTGCAGTCCTCAACCTGAGGGTCATGACCCCCTTTGGTGTTGCACATCAGATTATAATTCATAACAGTAGCAAAATTTACAGTTATGAATTAGGTACAAAATAATTTTATGGTTGGTCTCACCACAACATCAGGAACTGTATTTAAGACTCACAGAACTAGGAAGGTGGAGAACCAGTGCACTAAGAGGCAGGCTAAATTATGCGCATTAAAAGTACATTTGACCACAAACCTGAAGGTATAGATTAGGGCTCCAACACTAATGTATGTTTCAAAGATGTATGTTTCAGCCTTTCATGTGAAATATGAAGATGGTAACTGT